TGGTAGTGTTTGAGGTGGGATCATTGGGAGGAAATTGTTTTTTTTTTTTTGGTACGTGCCCCTAGAGGGAACCGAACCCTGGACTCTCTGGTCCGCAGGCCGACGCTCCAACCGCTGAGCCAAACTGGCCAGGGCAGGAAATTGGTTTTGAATGAAGTTATGGGGGTGAAGTCCCCATGATGGGACTGGTGTCCTTAAAAGGGGATAAAGAAACCAAAGAAACAAAAACTGTATCTTGCCCTAGCCAGGTGGCTCAGTCAGTTGAAGCATCATCCCATATTCCAAAAGGTTGCAGGTTCGATTCCTGGTCAGGGTTACATACCTAGGGTGTGGGTTCAATCCCCCGTTCGGGCATGTACAGGAGGAAACCAATAGATGTTTCTCTCATATCGATGTTTCTCTCTTTCTTTCCCTTCCTCTCTCTTTAAAATCAATAAAAATATACTGTTGGGTGAGGATTAAGAAAGAAAGAAAGAGCCCTGGCCGGTTTGGCTCAGCAGTTGGAGCGTCAGCCTGTGGACCAGAGAATCCTGAGTTCAGTTCCCACTAGGGGCATGTACCACAAAAACAAAAAACAACAACAACAACAAAACAGAAAGAAAGAAACCAGAGCTATCTGTAGCCATGTGAAGATGCAGTGAGAAGGTGGCCGTTTGCTAGCCGGGAAGAAGGTCCTCAGCCAAACCCAACCACGCCGGCACCCTAATCTCAGATGTTCAGTCTCCAGAACTGTGAGAAAAAAAAAAATTCATTGTTTAAACCACCCAGTCTATAGGTCTTGTAGGGCCAAACTGACTAAGACAATGAAATCTGAGGTAACGTAACTTAGAAGAAATATTTTCCAGGCTAGGTAAGACTTGAGCTCGTTTTAGGCCCTAGGAAAGAAGCCGGCGTGGGAAGAGATTTGGGAGGGTGAGGGGAACGTTAACCAGCCAAGGTCCCCAAGGAGCCGGAACAGTACACCAGTATCAGGGCTAACTTTAGAAAGAAGACGGAAAGGACCAAGGCCAACATGAATAAAGTTGGGGCATCTTTTTGAGGAAGGACATGAAAGGTATTATAGCCAATGAATCCATGCGTTTTCCCAGTGGGTTGGGAGAAAAGATCATCAGTGGAGTAGGAGGGCTGGGGCTGGGAGCCGGAGGGGTGTAGAAGAGGTGTATTGCTGCTGCATGGAATGAAATAGGCCACGATATCTGAATGATCAGTTAACTGTGAGATTCTGAGCTTCATCCCAGATCTACCAAATCACAGTCTCTGAAGGTGGGTGATCCTAGTGCACACCAAAATCTGGAACCTTTGAAATAAAAGGTTAACTAAGGATATGGAGCCACTGCTGATGTTGGATCACAACTATTTAAAATAGGGTCAATGAATACATTTATATAATTTTCTCCATCATTATTTAACAACTTGGGAAGAGAATATTGGATAAAAAATTAATGGCTGGGTATCCCCACGGTTGGGCTTTGGCAATGTGGGTGTAGAAGTTAACTCAATGGGTCAATGGGACGTGAGATGCTGGTAAGTGCATCGTTAACTTGGGTAATCACAGGGTAAGAATGGGGTAGAGAGAGAGGAGTTAGACTGGAGTTTATGAGGAGGGTGTAAAGCAGATTTGTGAAAGTTAGAGTGGGTGAAATGCAAGAATTAGAAATTTTGATTAGTGAGATGTGTCCTGGTGTAAAAGATTTTGAAAGAAGAGATGATGACACAATCCCAACAGTGGCCATCGAAGGATCTTCTGAACTAGAGTGGAAATAACATTGACCCAAGTAGAAGAGATTGGAGAATTGAGGTTAGAGTGTGAGATAATTACCCTTATGAATATCAGGTTTGTTGGATCCCATGGGTGGAGGCAAAGTGATACTCAAGACTAAACCAGAGTGCAAAAAAAAAAATGTTAGGGTCAGAGAGGGACAGAGTCAGGGGGAACGAAAGAGTTGGGTAGGCTAGCCCTGGAGATTCAACATGGCCTCGCACCTAGGAGAGCACAATTTTAAATTACTGGTGGAAGGGTGGGTCAATATTTTGATTTTTTTTGTTGTTGTTGTTTTTTTAAAGTCCCTTTGACTCCCACACATGGGTTTTGTGAATGTTTTATTTTTCTGTGGTGTTTTTGTTTTTTGTTTTTTAAAGTCCCATTGACTCCCACGCATGGGTTTTGTGTATGTTTTAGGGTCAATATTGTTGGATGGTGACCTCTCAGAGTCTATGTGGCGATGGCTGGAATTTTGGTTCAATACTTTGCATATACTTCTATTTTACAATATGATGTGTTCATTTGGAGGCCTTTGTTAATTGGACTGTATAATTCCTTAATAGTAGACATCTTTCTCCTCATATTTAAATGCCTACTGCTTACTACTGTGCCTGACGTGATAAATACTCAAGAAAAGTTTTTCTGGATGAGTGCATGAAAGAAATTAAGCAGCCCCATATTTCCAGTAGGGCTTTGGCATGAGAGTGCTTTGCAAAGGTCTTTTCCCATGAGGAGAGATGTTATTTGTTTTCTACCTTCTCAGCATACTTTTGGATATTTTGTTTGGTGGCCAGCTGGGGAGTCTAAGTTATGTTTGACAATGGGTTGTTCATGGTAATGGAAGTGAAAACTGTGACTGTTGTTTGAAGATAATACTGAATAAATACTATTTCTCTCTTTCTCTTCCTCTCTCTCTAAAATCAATAAATAAAAATTTCAAAAAATCAATAATAAAGATTTCATTCTCCTCTACCTGAGCATGAAATGTTCAGCCTCTGCTCTCTTCAAACACTGTCCCTAGGTAACCTCATCCTTATTCATGGTTTCAATGATCACCTCTGTGTGTACACAGACCTTCCCTCTGAATCCAGACCCGTATCATTTTCTACTTGACATCTTCTTTCAGCAGCACCAGAGAGCCCCTGAGGCTCACCCTGCACAAGCTGACTTCATGATCTTCCTCTGCAATCCCGGTCCTCTTCCAGAATTTGCTCTCCCCTTGCTGAGCACCTCTTCCCCAGCACGCCAGGAACCCAGCAGTCAACCTTGATGAGTCCCTTTTCCTCATCTTCTATATCCAACCTATCAAGACCTCCAATTTAAGATCTAAAGAACTCTTGAATCATTCTATTTCTTTCCATTGTCAAAGGCACCAGCCAGTCCTAGATTTCTGTAGTACCCCACAATGGGTCTACCTATGCCCACATGAGCCCCGCTCCAATCCCCACTCCACCTCACCAACCAGGATGATCTTTTCAAACCTTAAATCTGTTGGTATCATATTCCTGCTTAAACCACCTCAACAACTTCTTATTTTTTTTAGCCCTAAACATGATTTACAAGACTCAGCAAGGGCTGAGCTCTGCCCAGGGCCCCAGGCTCATTTTGCACCACTCCTACACAGGCTCTGGGCCCGTCGCAGTGGGCTTGTTTCATTCCTAGACAGGCATCATACTACTCCCATCCTCAACCCCCAAGGCCTTTCTACATGCTCTTCCTTCCCCAGGGCCTGTCATGTACCCCTACACTTCCTTTTGATCTCAGCTCTGACATGATTTCTTTGGAGGAGCCATCAGAGATCTCTCCAACAAGGTGAAATCTCCTTGTTATATTCACTCCTGTCCCCCAACTTTATGGCATGTATCTCAGTCGTGATTTCATATTTCTGTGTGTGTGATTATTTCACTTATGTCTCTCCCTCACTAGACTCTGAGCTCATGAGGGCCAAGAACCCTATGTGTTTTTGCTAATCATAGGGCGTGGCACACAATGAGTGTGCTATAAATATTTCTCAGGTGAGCGAATGAAGAGACCAGAAAACACCTCTGTCTGGTATTAGCAATAAAGTTTTGTTTCTCGGGTCCATCCCCCGGGATTTGGGAACATGTGGCCACAATGAACTCTTCTCAGCAATGATATCCATGATAACTTAACCCGCAGTTAAAGCAAAATTGCTGTGTTCTTGTCCTGGCTCCACAATGGTGTGCCCTAAGGCAAGATATACATTTTTTAGGCCTAAACTCTGTGTTTTACCTACAATTAGGTGTCTCCTTTTGCCCTTGAACTTTCAACAGCTGTTTCTCCAGACCTCTCCTCCTTCCCTTCCAACCTGCTTCTGCAGCTGGGAATGGCTGTTGGCCTCCTGCGAAGGTAGGGGAGGGCCTGAAACAGCCTGCTTCTCTGTGGGAGGGTTGGGAGGAAGTGTGGGACTTCCTTTGTACTCAGAAACAACTGCTGGATTCTATTTCTTCAGACAAACTAGTTTGGAAAGAATAAGGCTTGAGTATTTGTCGTGACAAGAAGCTAGTGCTAAACACTGTTGCCTGAAAGGATGTAATTCATCCAACTGAAAACCTAGGAGCCCGAGTTAGGTGGATTTACCCCCTTTCTTGTCTAATTGGAGTGGTATATATTCAGACTGATTTCTTTCTAGCTCAGTGATCTCTAAGCAGTATGAGTTTTCAGGCTGTTATTGTTTATTTTCTATGTATTTGGCCTAAATATTGCATGGTAAATGAAGGGGAGAAACTTGGTTTTCAAACTGGAATGTTTCTTCAAAAGAAACTCAGCAAGTTGCTTTCTCCATCTCTCTGATTTGGGGGTCCTAAACTATCCTTGGTAAATGAAGTTCAGTGTCAGTAACTGAGGAGGAGGTCCCATGCTGTGCTGTGCAGTGGCCTTGCAGTGTGGAACTGCCGTGGTCTCTCTGTGTGTTCATTTCTCTACCCCCCGAGTGGATGCGGTGGTTGTTCCTACCACTCTCAGGGACGCATCATTAAGTCACTGAAATGATAATCAGAAGAAAACAAGAGTGTTTCCTCTTGCAGACAGACACATCTATATGTTCTTCATGTTCTCTACTTGCATGAAAATCTTCAGAAAAGATGTATATACACCTGATTTGACAGCTCCAAATTGCACCACAACCACCCACTTTCGAATAGGAGGGAAAAAAAAAAAAAGAGAGAGAAGCCTGCAGTTGTGTAACACAGATATCTCCTCTGGCCTGGAGCCCATCGCTGTGGTTTGGCAACACAACCCGCACCTCTCTCTTTTCGTCTCTTGAAGGAAAAAAAAAACAAAAAAACAAAACCCAATAGAGAGAAAAAGTACCTTGAGAATAAAGGTAATGATTAATCCATCAGGCACAAAAAGGATAAAAGGATCTTTTTGGGATTTCAAAGGTTTTACCTCGATCACTCAAATAAATAGCAGTGAACAGGGAGTGACAATTTCAGCAGAAGAGGATCGAGTCACGGGCTATAATTGGGACAGTGTGGAGTCAAATAATCTCATCAGAGATCTCAAGGAATTTATGACCGGTTGTCAAAACTTCCTTTTACATGTGTGAGTGAAGTAGGGACCAGAAGAAGCAGGTCCTGGTGGAAAGAGTGGTCCTCGGAGAAGCCTCACAATGCAGCCGGAGAAAGGACGGAGGAGGAAAAGCTTCAAGCAGAGACTGGCGTTGAAGAGCAGTTTAGTGAAAGAAACACTCTCTGAGCTCCTGGGCACGTGTATAATGATCGTGAGTATTTCCTGATTTTCTGAGGTTTGAACCGAGAACGCCTCCCCATCCACCTAGCTGGTGTGGAGAGTTGTTTTGGTTTCTGTCATTAGATTCACCTCTTCCAGGAGGCAGCAAGTTACTTCCAGTCCGTTTAGCTACTTAGTGGCCTCAATACTAGGTTTCCATTTACTCATTTTATTTATCCACAAGAGTTGACGGGAGTGAAGAGGGAGAGTGAAGGACTTTCTTCATTTTAGAGGTTTGCTCAGACTCGAAGGTGGCTTTGTGATTAATGTCAGACGATAGAAATGGTCCTCATTGATTTACACCCTGTTCCTTTCACACAGACGTTGAGGTGACTCAGTCATTTGAAATAAATACTGACAGTCAGAAAATATGGATGGCGGGAGCCTGCTCATTATTACCAGTGCTTCGCAAAGATTGTGTTGACAGATTGCTGGACTCGTAAATTAGAAATTGCACCGGATAGAAAGCGTATACTGTGCAATAGTCCAGCTTGGGCTTTGCATCATTTTTTTCCCCTCGAACTCAAGCTAATCTGTAAAGATCTTTAATTAGACAATTACACAAGAACCTTCTGTATATATAAAGGAAAGACTGAGTCTAAACTTCAGGATTTTTTCTAGAGATTGGCACAACTATTAATAGAAGACTCGGACGTTTTTCGAATGGCGTGGGCCACAGCTTTTTATCCTGTTGCGTGTTCTCTGGGTCCTGGGTTCAGCTGGAGCCAGGCCATTTGTGAACAGAAAATTAAATTGTGGATTGTTCTCATGTATAGCAACTACAGATTTGAACTTGTTTTAAAAATAATCTGCTCAAGGAGTCCCTACTCCAGGTATAAATTATTTTTTCTTAAGGTTATAGAGAATTGTCCATAACCTTTGTGTATCAGAAGTTCTTTGGCAAGAAAAAAAAATAGAAAAAAACTTCTTTGGTAATGTACAGCATGCTGACTATAGATAATAACACTGTATTGTATATTTGAAAGTTGTTGAGAAAGTAGATCTTAAAAGTTCTCATTATAAAAAAAAATTATAACCATGTATGGTGATGAATATTAACCTATTGTGGTGATCATTTCACAATATATACAAATATCAAAATATTTGGGTGTATACCTGAAACGAATATAGTGACATGCCAGGTATACCTCAATTTTTAGAAAGCTATTTGCTTTGGTTAAATACATAGTAATTTAGGAGAATAAGCCAAAATTGATAAATGAGTGTGAACTCAAAAACTTGAACTAGTGTAAAATGAGAGAGTCATGTTTTCTGGTTTCGGCTTCTTTTTATTGGATTCACTCAAGTGTTTTCCAGGCATTATGAAGAATTTCTTGCATTCCTTCTGGGCTGTCCTCCCCCACATGATTAGGTAGGGGAGATTTCAAAGGAAAAGAGACAATAAAAGCCCAGGATTCTTTTTTTTTTTTTTTTTTTTTAATTATCTTTATTGTGGAGAGTATTATAGATGCTCCCCCACCCCCCACTGACCCCCTTCCTTTTGATTTTAGTCATTGCTCACTTGGAATATGCCCTCAAGGAGACACACCCTCGAGTCAAGGTCACGTTACTTGACAATGTGGTCCCAAAGGGGAGTGGTTGTCCGCACCAACTTCAGCTCCACAGTAGCCTGTGGTCCAGAGAAAGTGAAGCAAGTTCAGTTACAGCTCTGAGGGCTGTGCAGAAAACACACAGGAAGTGAACACCCATTTTGCAACCAAAAAAAGTTAAAACCTTTTATTTCTTACCAAAAATCTGTTTCATAATCCCATCCTGTCAGGGTTGATTGAACATTGCTTTCCGCCATTCACCGGTCTGTTAACAAAAACAAAAAAGCTCAGCCAGTGAATGTGAGGATCTAATTGGCTTTATTAAGAGACTTATAAATCCAGCAGCAGCCCATCCAGCAACCAGAAGTTGTGCCCGAAGTTGTGAAAAGGGTTTTGTAGGTAGAAAGAGGTGGCACTAAGAACCTGCAGTGGATTGTTTCAGGCAAGGCCCCTTCCTTTAGGATTCAAGTCAGGATGTTACTAGGAAGGCTGTATAGAAAAGAGGATTATTTTGGGGGCCAGGGTGCTTCTCTGGGGGCAAAAGAAGGGACGGGTTGTTAACCTGCAGATTGCCTCTGTCTGCGGGTGGGGCGGATGAGAAAGACCCACAGGACAGATCGCCTTCTGGTGCTTGGCCAGAACATTTCAGACTGCTTGATTAAAAGTATGTTTGTGGGAGAGGCTGATACTGCCATTAGATCAGGTATTAAATCTAGTTTAGGTATCACGGGCTTTCAGCACAAGTGAGACCATTTTGGGCCTGTGGTTTTTCTGTTTTTGTTTTTGTTTTAATCCTCATCCGAGGATATTTTGCTATTTATCTTCAGACAGAGTGGGAGGGAAGGGGGGAGAGAGAGAAACATTGATGTGAGAGAGACACATGGACTGGTTGCCTCCCTTACAACCAGACCAGGGCCGGGGATGAACCACAACCAAGGTACGTGCCCTTGACCAGAGTCGAACACACCACTCGGGTCTGCGGACCAACGCTCTAACCGTTGAGCCAAACCAGCCAGGGCATGGTTTTCCGTTTAAAACTACTCATATAGCCCTGGCCAGGTGGCTCAGTCAATTGGAGGACTATCCTGTACACCAAAAGTTTGTGGGTTCAATTCCTGCTCAGGACACATACCTAGGTTGCAGTTTCGATCCCTGGTTGGCACGTGCATGGAAGGCAACTGATTGATATTTCTCTCCCACATCTGTGAGTCTCTCTCTCTCTCTCTGCCTTCCAATTTTCTAAAATCAATAAAAATATATCCTCAGGTGAGGATTAAAAAACAAACTACTCATACAACCAGCACTGTGTCTTCCCCTAGTATTTAAGATAGGAGCTAAAGAAATAATGTTGTGTGCTAAAACATTAGCCTTTGTATCGTCTGCCTAAAGCCAATGCATTCCTGAAAGGCTGGACTTCCATCTGTACTGCACATTTAGCTTCTAAAGTGACCCCTGATGAAGTCAATGACAGTGATCACAAGCTTCAGTCTCGAGGCCTGTGGGGATATGTGGGCAAGAAGTTGCTGCACAAACACCATCATTTCTAACTGCATAAATCTACATGGTTCTGCTCAAAGATTTCCAAAATAATTGTCTCTGCTTATTAGCAAACGTGCACGTTGCCTGCCTTTCTCCAGTCAAAAGCTTTGCATTTCGATAGAGCAGGGGGCAAGGAGCCTTAGATGGGAGAAGAAAGGACTCGTTAATGCTCCATGTTTATGAAGTTGGCTTTTCCCCCCGTCCCTGGGATTCTGAGGCCATTCCCCTCCCCACCCCCTCAGAAAACACCAAACTGCTCTTAGGGGAAGTCACTCAAACTCATTCACATGGTATAAATGTCTAATAAGGCCCACTGGTAGCGTTAAGGGAAGAGGCGGTCCATGAGAAATTCTTTGTAAACCACAACTGAAAACGACAGTACTTACATCATACACTGAAGAACTAGCTCGAATTTGGCTCTTCTGGCACTAAGATAGGTAGGTCTTTGTGCCTCTGCTGATGTCAGGGAGGAGGTCTGCAACGCGTCTGATCAAGGGAAGAGGTTTAGAAGCCTTGAGCTGCAAAAGTGGGGGCCATGTAGTAAGTCCCTCCCGTTCGTTAGCTTCTCTTCATACACGTGTTTAATCCTTACAATAGCTGCTTTAAGGAGGCTTTGTTATCACCCACAGTTGGAGAAACGAGGGTCAAAGACATGAAGTAACCGGCCAAAACCAGAAAGGCAGTGAACCAGGATTCTTTCTCCTTCTAGAGCCTACATTTTCCACACAAATTGCTGGAACTGCTTTAACAATGTCTCCAGTAGATAGTAAAACTCCCTCTCTGCTTTTCTTGTTGTTGTTCAGACAGAGTTCGAGGGAGAGAGAGAGAGAGAAAGAGAAACATTGATGTGAAAGGGACACATCGACTGGTTGCCTCCTGCACAACCCAGATCAGGGCCAGGGACAAACCGCAACTGAGGTACGTGCCCTTGACCAGAATTGAACCCACAACTCATTGGTCCATGGGCCGATGCTCTAACCGCTAAGCCAAACAGGTCAGGGCTTCCCTCTGCTTTAACAGTTCCATAGATGAGACCCATAGCTTGCTTGAGAGCATGTGAGTTTATTTTATTTACTTATTTATTTTTTTGGTGGTCCGTGCCCCTAGCGGGAATCGAACCCCGAGACTCTCCGGTCCGCAGGCTGATGCTCCAACCACTGAACCAAACCGGTCAGGGCTGAGAGCACGTGAGTTTAAACCTGCAACACCTGAGACCAGATTGTGAGTTAGATCCCGAAGTCAATGTCTTTACTTTCTCTAAAGCTGGAGATTGCTCCGTGCAGGTGGAGAGGTATGAGGTGAAGGCAGAGAACAAAGTACCGCTCAGGCCCATGCACAGGGGCTCAGGGCCTGATGATGGCACACTGCACATTAAATACACACTACATGTAAAGTTGCTGATACAGGAAATACTCATTCAATGCTACCCCCTTTTCCCCTTTCTTGCTACGTCCCCTCTTCTACTCCAGAGTCCTTGTAGTGTTTGAAAACAGCTGCTTTGTCTCCTGGCCCAAATCTTTCAAGGTCCTTTCTCCAACATCTGCCACAGAACTCGACTCATGCATAAGTGGGAGCCCACAGATGTGTGTTGAATTTAAATCTGTTTTTGCTGAACGTTCTGGGATCTCCAGTCATTTCTCAGATGTTCACTCCTCACTGTTCTGTGTATGCCCTTCTCTCTTCACACGCTCCAGGGCTCTGTGCTACAGAGCTCGTCCTCCTGAAGACACAGTCCAGCAAGCGGCCTGTGTCCTGCAGCGGGTGGGCATCCTTACAGGGCAGGACTTCTGAGTAGGCAGCACCGGCCTGTGCCTTGGAGAAGACCCTAAATTCTTTTCTCACCCTGTCAAGCTTGCACATTAGAGGTCTACTTTTTGGCATCTCTAGGAATAAAAAAAGGTGA